TGTTAAAGTTGAGGCTGGTTGCTCGTCTGATGAACGCTTGTCCATCAGCTCTCCTCGATGGATCTCTGTCCCTTGCCACTTCCATAATTTCTAAGACCATAGATGGTCCTTCCATTATTTTAAGACCATCCGGTCTTGCGGTTAAGCCTATTGTGATTTTCACACGCTTGCACGCGCCGGAAGTCCACATATATCGCACATTTGAGGTGTTATTCAAATAACAGCACAAATCTAAACTATATTATTTTAGGATTATTCATATACGTAGGTAGTCATATATTTATTGTCGCACGCCGCTCATGGTCACGCACTCGATATTACTATTATTGATATTATAATTATTACTATTCGAAGAAGCGCTCGAGTATAATATTTATATTTACGCGGTGCGAATATTATATGATTACGTATACATTATAATGTGTTTAAGCCATATGGCAAGATAGCCACAGCTCGCTACAACATACAGCAAATTAACTTCAAACAAGATTCCGGTTTCAAGACGAGCATTAGTTAGTAGAATTGAAACATTGTATGGTAAAATGATTGAAGAAATGATAACTGATTTTGAAGAGATAAAGTATGTATGCTTAACTTGTGATTGTTGGAGTATATTTCATAAGTAAATATTGCAATATGATTATTTTATAACATCCATATTTTGTTTAAAAAAAATGTCATTACTATGATCTAAGTTAATATTATTACTAAATTAAATTGTTCTTATATTATAGGTAGTTATCACTTATAAGTTATATTTGATTTATAACATAATTTAAAATTTTCCATTTATGATATTTACAATGTTTAACATGGACAGATGGTTTAGTTTTAATTTCAATAATAATAGTAATACATGAGAATAATAATAATATTTGTATAATATTAATCAACTTAGAGTTGCTTTTCAGTTTTCACTATTGAGCCTATAAAACATAATAAATATTGAATCATTTTTTTTCGTATTAAAGTAAATATAAAATTTAAAATTAGTAACAATCATACTTTTAATTTCCATTATAAAATATAGATAAAATTAAAATTGACATCAATACCACAGAATAGATGAAATCAGAATGGACACTCTCCAAAAACCATGATAAGAACTAAAGTGCCACCAGTGTAGCCATGTAATAAAACTATTTTTATTTTCTGTTTATGTCGCAAAAGACCACTCTGAGCATCCGCTTTATTTGGATTTGTTTGTAAACAAACTGCTTTTTTAAGGCTGGTTTGTAAAAAACTTAACAATTCACTTTTCATATTTCTTAAAAAGTGAACACGAGACCTCTACAAGTCCTCGGTTAATACCTAATTAGATATTTTGAAATTCTTGTAATTTTACGACACAACCAGTGACTATGGACTTCCTAAATAAACGCTTTAGAATAGGAAAATGCTGTATTAAAGACTGCAAAAGTTTTGAATTGGATCCGGATTTAATAAGTCATTTTTCTTTTCCAAAGGACCCTTCAAGGTAAGACATTTTTTGAGTAAATTAATATAACATACATTTGATTATTTGATTATTTTTTTTTAATTTAAAGATGTGCAGTTTGGATGGACAATGTTCAATTATGTCATTTAAATAATGTTGATGTAGTAACTTTGAACAAAAATATCGGCTATGTTCATTACATTTTGAAGGCAGGATGTTTAGTAATGAACAGAACAACCGTCTTAAGCCAGATGCAATACCAACATTATTTGAAGTTGTGGCAGAGGAACATATTGATAAAAATTATGTTTTTAATGACAATGACAACGAAAATAATTGCTCACCGTCCTGTTTAACACCTGGTATGCACCTTGTTTCAGATGCATCTTCTGTTTGTTCAATTCTATCAGATTCATCATCAATTACAATAGAAACATGTTCATCCGAATGTCAAACTCCATCATCATTAACTCATCGTACTCCACGGAAGAACGCACTTAGGAAGAAACTAAATGAGGAAATAAAGAAGAGAAGAGAACTACAATCAGTGATTGATTCTCATCGGCAGATGGTTGACACATATTCTATTGAAACGGCCCTTAAAGTGTGTGAGAAACATTGCTCTCCCACAGTGTTTATGCTGGTCAAGTCTCAATTTGAAAATCAACAGCGGAAACAATGCGGACAAAGGTATTCTAATGACATAAAGCAACTTGCTTTAAATATTTATTTTGTAAGTCCTAAGCTTTATAGAATGATGCAAAAATCTTTGTCCCTTCCGGTTAGTCGGACTTTGAGAAGAATCACTGGTAAATATGAAATCAATCCTGGTTTTAATGATTTTCTATTTAATTTCCTTTCGCTTAAAATCAGTAATTTTAAATCAGATTGGCTTGATTGTGTTTTGTGTGCTGACGAAATGGCTTTAAAAACTAATCTGTTTTACAGGGTTAACAAAGATAAAATAGTTGGTTTCCATGAATCTTCTAACCGTAGAAAATATGAACCTGCCAAGTATGCTCTGGTCCTTATGATCAGAAGTCTAAATTATGACTGGAAACAACCAGTTGCTTATTTTCTTGTGTCTAGTAGCTGTACAGGAATTGATTTAAAGGACATAATTTTGTCAACAATTTGTCGCCTGCAAAACATTAATCTGAATATTAAAGCATTTATTACGGACCAAGGCACAAATTTTGTGCAGTTTTCAAAAAGCCTTTATGTTTCCCCTAGTAAGCCTTATTTTGATGTAGAAGGAAAATCAATTGTTTACATTTTTGATCCTCCTCATTTGATTAAGTCAACCCGTAACATGTTATTTAAACATAATTTTCAAATTAATGATAATGTTGTTAATAAAGCCCATCTTATTTCTTTTTACAATCATGACTCCAAATGTAATCTTCGATTAGCACCAAAATTGACGTATGCTCATATATACCCAGGGCCTTTTGAAAAAATGAGGGTTTATTTGGCTACACAAGTATTTAGTGGAACTGTTGCTTCTGGTATGTCGATTGCTTTAGTAGCTGGTATTTTACCGCCTTGTGCCCAATTTACGATAGACTTCATAAGTGATATGGACAAGTTATTTGATATATTCAATTCTTCCAAGATTCCTAAAAGAAAAGAATACAATCGGCCGTTTAAGGGTACAGAAGCCCAAATCAATCATTTAAATAAAATGGAAGGGGTTTTTAAAAACTTACTAGTAATTCATAAATATAATGGTACAGATGAAACTAAGCGGATGAACTTTATTAATGGATGGTTAATCTCGATAGCGGCTTTAAAAATGATATGGAAATCATTAAAAGCATCAAAAAACAAAGATTATGTCTTATACACTGGTAGGCTCAATCAGGACGGCTTGGAAAATTTAATTGGTTCCTTTCGCCTACAGCAAGGCAATTGTTTGAACCCTACACCAATCCAATTTATATGGGCATTTAAAAAAATGCTGTATTTGAATTATTTTCAGCATTCACCTGGTGCAAATTGTATAAATGATTTTGACCAAATATTATGCTCAGTTGAACCATCCTCTAGTAAATCTCTTATTCTAGAAGAACCAAACAAAGAACTATTTATGTTTAAAGGTATTGCTGTAGGTACAGTTGACTACAGACATTTAGATTTACCTGAAATAAACACATTTACCTATGTGTGTGGGTATTTAATGAAAAAATGTCTGGAAAAACATACCTGTGATATTTGTATTGAGTATGCTCGGTACCAAAAACAATTGGATAAATCCTTTCTACTGTCATTTATGAAAGCATATTCTACTAATAACCATTCCACATTTGGAAATTTGATGATGCCAGATGATGATTTTTATAATTTTATCTTTGAGTTAGAGAATATATTCATCAATAACTTTCCCTCTATTGCCTATGAGGAAGGCGTTGGGGCTAAGTTGAAAATTGATTTTTGTAATGTACCGTATGATCATCCCTGTGAATATTTTGAAAAATCATATTTAATAAATTTATTTACACGCTTCAGAATTTTTACAGGTATCAAATTTTTAAACAGGGCTTTAGTTTCAGAGAAGAAATTGAAAAATAGAAAGTTAACTGTACTACAACATTTATAAAACTATTTACCTTTTTTTTTGTTTCAGTGTTCTATCGCTGTGTTAATGTTTTACAAGCTTGCTTGTATTTGAAATTAGTTCTTTTCCGAGCTCAACATTAGATTTGACCAATCTAAACATAAATTTTGTTTATTTTAATATTTTTAAATATATTTAAATTCCATATCATAAAATAAAACTTATTGGGGCTGCAGTCGATGAAAACAAATTGGCTGTTAGACCAAAAAGCCAGACAAAACTGAAGAAAACCTTGTCTGGCTTTTTGGTCTAAAAGCAACTTTTATTTACATCGACTGCAGCTCTCTTAATAAATATATTATATTTGGTTTTTTTTTTTTTTTTTAAACAATAATTGTTTGTATGCAGTTATTTTGTAAATAAAATAATTTTTTTTACATCATGTTCGTGTATTTTTTTCTTTTTCTTATTGACTATTGGTTGATTTTACCCACAATTATCTATACTCTATAGCACATTGAAGAAATTACATTTTTACAATAGGTTATTGCAAGAGATATCAAATAAGCCATACTTATGGCATTTATTTTAATACTTGCAAATAATTGTGTTTATCAAACGATGTGGTTGTATTACAGGTATCAACAGGGCTCGAAATGGACCGGAACGCACCGGAACGCAGTTCCGGTTCACGACAAAAAAATTTTTAGCGTTCCGGTTCGTAAAAAAAATACGTTTATCGTTCCGGTTCAAACAAATTTTTACTGTACCTACTATATTTTTGTAAAATTTAAACATTTTGCAGAATTGTGCATTGTAAAATATTTAATAAACGACAAACGACCGCGACGGCGCGACGCATTAGTAAATGTATTGCTTATCTTTAGATAATCGTCATTCGTCGTCCGCCGATAGCGTAGTTTGTCAGAATATTTACAAAAACGTAGTATTACGTTAGTAGACGCTGTTAAATTTATAAGAACAATAATACGTGTATTAGATTCTATGGCAACCGATCCGGGTCCAAAACTAACTGACGCATTAAAAGAAATAAAGAACAAAATGTCGTATAAAAATGTAATATTACACAGTGGTAAAGTTTCTAAAATAAATTCTGCACAATTTTACAAAAGCCTAGCTAATAATTTAAAATCTCGAATGATGACTTCCAGTTCATCAAATGTCAGTCGTAATGAAAAAAATCGCCAAGACAATGACAAAACGTTTAAAAACTTACTTGATAATATTGAAAAATTGAATCCAAAAAATTGGCCACTTTCGAATGATGGCCAAATAGAAAACATACAATTTGGTGACTATAATATTCGTAATTTATGTCAACAATTTCAAATTGATTAAAAAAGCACTATTCAAAGTTTTAGAATTTATAAAATGGACTTGGGCAAAAAGGAAATTCCAGAAGATTTGAAACCCCTTTATAAATCAATTGCAACGATTCCAGTATCGACTAGCGAATGTGAACGAAATTTTAGTTCTATGAACGAAATCATGTCACCACTAAGAACTTCTTTAAATAGAAAAACTGTTGCTGCTCTTTTATTTATTAATTGTGTTGGACCCCCTCTAACGAAATTCGAACCAGAAAAATACGTTCGATCTTGGTTATTGAATGGTCGACATTCAGCTGATGATACCGCAAGTCGTAAAAGATACAAAAGTGTGATAAGACCTACGAATCACTGTGGAGGTTATTGTAAAAAAATTGTATTGACGCTGTACCTTTTTTAGTTATAAATATAAGTTTTTAAGTAGTTCTTTTATATTTATATTTTAATTTTATATAATATATACATATTCGTAAGTAAGTAAAAGAAGGTAAAAATATATTTAAATTTTTAAAAGGGCTGAAAATATAATGTGAGTTTCATAAAATAATAGACACAACTAATTTATTATTAAAAAAGGGTTAGTAATTTTGGTTGGGTGAAGCCCCCAATTCTATGGTATGTACTCAAAAAAAAGCGTTCCGGTTCAGAAAATTTTCCATTTCGAGCACTGGGTATCAAACTTATTTATTTATTTTATATTATAAAGATCTATGGTCCATATGCAAAAGCGGGCATTAGGTAACTAATTAAAAACTAAAAAGTTAATTTTGTTTATAAGCTTCTACAACTTTTCTTGTGTTCTCATAACTTGCCACCTTAACACATAGTATGTGACTTGCATAAATATATTTAGTTTACAATTCAACTCACTTTTAAATGTTCGCCAAATTGAAGTTGGTTAGTAAAATAATTAAATAGTTTTAGTGGCGCAATCTCCGCCAGTCACTGTATATTTGATAGTAGAGAAGTACATTTTGTTTAATATTGTATCTAATTTAAATATTATACATACCTAACCCCTATAGTTTTGTAAATATCATTATAATAATTCTCGTTTAAACATAAAAAGATGTAAAAGTAAATAATTCAATAAATAAAGGACATGCGCACTCAATTACATCACATACTACACTGTCACTGAGTCACTGGAGTAACTATACAAATACTAATATACATTATACTATATTTGTCAGAAGTAATTTAATTTGTATGGGGAGTACAAAAAAAAAACCACGGGTATTTCCGTGAAAACAATTACCGCGATAAGGGAATTACTTTTATTGGAAGGTCGACAATGATATCTGTAGATTGCATTAGCTGCCATACATAAACCTGCAGTTACTTTCATATTATTATATTAATGAAATATTAAATATAAATATTAGTATATTATTACTCTTATTAATGAAATATACATTATCCATTGAAAATATATTATATCGTTAATTATAGAATTTTCAAAGCAACCGCCAATTCTTCGGTCGAAATAATAAAATTATATACAATATTTTTTTTACTGTACTTTTTGGTAACACTGGTGGTACTTTAGGCTAAAATACTGTGTCTGCCATAAGAGCCCATGTAAATTTTTGGAGAGTGTCCATTCTGATTTCATCTATTCTGTGTCAATACTAACATCAAGTTCTTATCTTGGTCTTGCCCGGTACGATCGTTATAGTGGAGTGTGTATGTCCGTTATCTAATATGCCGTGTGGTACGTGCCGATCTAGTGTTTCGCCGTCAAAAAAAATATTGTGCGCTGTTTGTAGTGAGTATTTCCACCAAAAATGCATATCAAACTCTATGAAAGGGAACGTGGACTTACTCAACTGGACATGTAATATTTGTGAAAATGATTTACTTATTAAAAAGAACGTGACAATAAGAAAGCACGAATCTAGCAATATTTCTGCAAAGTCTTCAGTTGAAGATTTTAATTTAAGGACAATAAAATACGATATTGTGGCTCTAATGAATAAATTTGATAGTGTATCAGCTACTAATGTAGAAAGTGAGAAGTCAGTAAGTTTCTGTTCGGCAAAACTGGATGACTGCTGCAAAAAAATTGATTCTTTATTCTCTCAAATGAACCTTCTTGTTAAAAAAGTTAATGATCTTGATGCTAAGTACTCAAATCTTGAAAAAGAAATTAATTTACTTAAAATTAATCTAAATAAATCTGAACAACAATCATTGACAAATAACGTATCAATAAGCGGTATTCCAATTACTAAGAATGAAAACGTCGAAGAAATAATCAAGGCTACTGCTAAAGCCTTAAATGTTGATATTCGTAATGAAGATATTCAATCTGCTTACCGTTCTAATGTAAATAAGAACAACGACAGTAAGATAATAGTTTCATTTAATAGTAAAACCGTTAAAGATGTGTTCTTAACCAAAACTAAGGCACTTCAATTAAAAAAACAACCATTAAAATCAAACCAAATACATAGTTCTTTCCCTGATAGAATTATTTATATTAACCACGAACTTACGCCACTATTCAGAAAATTATTTTGGTTAGCAAAACAGTTTGCAAATATTTATGGTTGGAAATACATATGGAGTAGCCCGAATGGTATATATTTGAGAAAAAATGAAGGAAAAGCAGCTATGAAGTTACAATCAATTAGTGATCTACTCAAGCTTGATGAAGAAAATAAAATACGTCATCTTATTGACCCTGGCTCTAACGCTTCTACTAGGAAGTAGATGGTTAGTCATTTCATATAAATATCTAAATAAGTATTATTACTACCATCATTGTAACAGTAAAAAAAAAAATGTCTTGATAGTTTAATTTTAAACGAAATTAATTGCTTAAACAATGTAAAAACGTATTATATTCAAGATTTATCTTCTCATTCCTTTCCTATAAATAGTATTAATATTTTTTCAATGAATATTAGTAGCATTAAAGCTAACTTTGACGAGTTAGTACTAATGTTAAATACCATGAATAACAGTTTTGACATTATTATTTTAAGTGAAACCTGGTTAACTATTGATTTCAACTTTGTACTAAATGGATATTGTACAATTAATTCACTTGGGGAATTAAATAAATGTGACAGAGTAACCATCTTTATAAAAGATAACATAAGTTTAAAGGTTATAACTGATTGTAACTCAATCGCATTGTGTATTGACTATAATGATAACCAGATTTTAATAGTAGGTCTATATAGATCTTCTAGCGGTAATATTGATAACTTTATTAATGGTCTAAATAACTTTCTAGAACAACTTAGCAACAATGAATGTTATATAATAGCGGGTGATATCAATATTAATATTTATGACCAAAATATATCTAGTGATTATCTTAATACAATGGCAAGTCATAAATTTATCTCCTGTATTAACGAGTTTACTCGAGTGACCAATAACACCAAATCTTGTATTGATCATATTTTTATTCGTAATATTGATGTTCTTACTACACAAGCTTGTATCCTGAAAACCAAAGTTACGGATCACTATGCAACATTATTAAGCTTTAAAATTACTTTTAAAAGTAACGAAGGTAAAAAAAATCAAATAAAGGATACTCATCGCAAAATTAATATAAATAAACTAAATAAAATCATTGATGACGAAGACTGGTTTAAAATATTAAATTCTAATAATATAGATATTTCTTTCCAAACTTTTTTATCGAAAATTGAACAAAGTATTAATAACTCAGCATATTACATCATTTCTAATAAAAACATCCCTAAACAAAATAGTAAAATAAAAGAATGGATAACAAGGGGATTTTTGATCTCGATTGCGAACAAACAAAAATTATCTAAATTATCATACAAACGTCCGTTTGATATTAAATTAAAACGTAAATATAGACAATACTCCAATTTACTAACTACTCTAATAAAAGAAGCCAAAAAATTGCATTATCACAATCTCCTACGTAAATATCAAAATAATCCTAAACAAATGTGGAAAATGATCAATGAAATAGCTGGCAAGTCAAATAAAAATAAGATAATCATTGATAAAATTAAACAAAATAATTTAAATATTATAAAAATATTGAAAATAATATCTTAAATATGGGTAAGAAAAATTTAAGTTGGGATAGCCTCAATAATAACTGTCATGTCAATGATTCAATTTTTTTTTCTCCTATTACCCAAGATGAAATTGAAAAACATATTCTTCAAATTAAACCTATATCATCTTTTTATGAATACAATATTACAAATTTTATATTGAAAAACACTGCTCGTAGTATCTCTTATTCTCTAATGCTACTGTTTAATATGTCTTTGTCTACAGGAATCTACCCAACATGCCTTAAAAAATGCATTGTTATACCTATTTTTAAATCTGGTGACAAATTAAATTGCTGTAATTATAGACCTATTTCTTTATCATTATCATTATCAAACATTTTTGAAAAATCCATTAAATCCAGAATTATAAACTTTTTGCAAGCTAACTCTTTCTTTTCTGATTACCAATTTGGTTTTCTACAAGGCAGATCAGTAAATGATGAGAATTTCTTCGTTAATAAGTACATACATGAAAATCTTGATCTTAATAATAAAACTATGGGAATTTTTCTGGACGTCAAAAAGGCTTTTGATAGTTTAAACCACGATTCTGATTACCTATTGCTTAAGAAGCTACACTATTCTGGTATTAGAGGTATTGAAAATGATCTTATAAGGGCATACCTTCCTAATAGAATTCAATACGTTAAAATTAATGAAAAGTATAGCAATCCTATGTTGTTGAATCACGGTGTACCACAAGGGACTGTACTTGGGCCCATTTTTTTATTATATATATAAATGGACTACTTAATATAAATGTTGATGCAAAGATAGTGTGTTTTGCAGATGATATTGTTGTTCTTTTTTTTTTTTGTTTTTTTTTTTATTAAAATATATACAATCTGTATTAACTATACAATAAGTAATAATGATGATATACAAGACTGGACGGCTTGATAGAAGGGAGTGTCCAAACAACACTACTTCAATTTTAGACTTTAAATTGATGTTTTTTTTTTTTTTTTTTTTTAATTATTGGTTGAGGAGGTCCCTGGGCCAATTTCGCTTTAGACAACGTGGAGGGTTATCGGGGAGAGTGACGGATGAGAGATTGGAAATGAGTGGATTAGGGTGGTTGACTGTGTTGTTGTGAAATAATTTAAAGTAGAGGGAGGCTAGGGTGCTTATATATGGGATTTTAAGGTGAGAGTGGAGTGTGAGGTTGGTAACGTACCAGGGTGCGTTTGTGAGGAGACGAAGACAAATTGATTGGAAGGATTGGATTTTTTGGAGGTGCCCCATAACTGTATTCCGTAAGTCATTGAAGGGCGGAGAATTTGTTTATAGATTAGGAGTTTTGTGTTGAGAGGGAGATTTGATTTGAGAAGGTGTTTCATTTTGTGGAGTTTAAAGTTAAGTGATTTCCTCTTAGTTTTTATGTGAACTGCCCAAGTGAGTTTACTGTCGAGATGGACTCTGAGGTAACGGGTGGCATGTGCTTTGGGAATCATGACGTTATTGAGGGTCATGGGGGGACTATGGTCTGGACGTAGAGTAAAGGTTATGTGGGTAGATTTATTTGGATTTATTTTGATTCTCCACAAGTTGAACCAGTTTTGTAGTTCATTGAGATGAGATTGTAGATTTTCGGATGCTATGGTTAGGTCAACATTAGTTGATATTATGCCTGTGTCATCTGCGAAGGTAGCAAGAGTGGTGTTCTCAAAGTGAGGAATGTCGGAGGTAAATATATTGTAAAGAGTAGGTGCTAGGATACTTCCCTGGGGGACGCTTGATTTTATGTAGTGGATTTGTGAGAGTTCATCCTCGCAGCGAACGACGAAAGATCGGTTATGAAGGAAAGATTTTATGGTTAAAAACAGGGGGCTGGTAGAAATCGTATTTTATATAGTAGACCTTCGTGCCAAACGCGGTCGAACGCCTGAGCTACATCGAGAAAGACTCCAGTGGAGTACTGTTTGTTTTCGAGAGTTTGTGTAATTATGTCGATTATTCTGTGGACTTGATGGAGTGACAAATGTTTATATTTGAAACCTAATTGAGTGTGGGGGATTATATTATGGCTTGCTAATATAGGATTTAATCGCTTTAGTATAATCTTTTCTAGAATTTTTGAGAATGAAGGTAAGAGGCTGATAGGACGATATGAAGAAGGCAGGTCAGGAGGTTTATCTGGTTTTGGAATTAGAATAATTATGGAGTGTTTCCATGAATGAGGAATGTGGGAGAGACGAAGAATTGAGTTGAAGATAAAGGTTAAGAGAAGGATGGCTTTCTTGGGCAAATGTTTAATAATTCGATTTGTTATGAGGTCATGACCTGGAGATTTTTTGTTTGATAATTTACTGATAATAAATTGGATTTCGCTGGGGGATGTATGTTTTGTGGGTAGCGACATAGGAAGGCAATTGGTTAGAGATTTTTCAATAAAGGATGTGTGATTGATGTTGTTTACGTCGGGGTGAGGAGAGAAATTATTTTCTAGAAGAGAGGCAAACAGGTTTGATTTTTCTACGTTGGTCTTAGCGAAGGATCTGTCAGGATATCTAATTGGTGGTATTGCTTTTTTTCTTATTTAGGATTTTTTTTAGTAGCTTTCCAAATATAATTGTTTGAGTTGGATAGAGAGTGTAAATATCGTTGGTATGTTTCTGTGTTGTGAATACGTAGAAGGTTTTTAAGGGAGCACGCAATGTTGTTGTAGCGACTTTTGTCACTGGGGAGGTGGGTGTGGTGCCATCGGTTTCTGGCTCGGCGTTTTTCAGCAAGCAGTTTTGAGAGGTGTTCAGGGAGAACATTTTTATTGCGATTGGTGGGTAAGAAAGTTGATGAGTCAAGGGCGGCGTTTTTTATCAATGTGGTGAAGGTCGAGACAGCAGAGTCTATCTCTTCAGTAGATTTTAAAGAAATGTTTAGAGATATATTGTTTTCAACGATGAGAGAGAATTTTTTCCAATCGGTTATCCCTGGAGTGAGGGTGGGGAATTTTTTTAGTGAGACCAATATTGATTATTTAAAGTTAATAGGATAGGAGTGTGATCAGACGAGAGGTCTGCGAGATTGGCAATATTATAGTTGATGTTATTAGGGAGAGTATGAATGAAAAAATCAAGAATGTCGGGAACTCTGTTGGAATGTGATGGCCAATACGTTAGGTCAGGGGGAGATAAGTATTTTAGGTTGTTAGAAAGTAGTGATCTGTGTAGTGAAAGGCCTCTAGTATTGGATACTCTAGATCCCCATAAATTATGTTTGAAATTGAAGTCACCTCCGGATAAAAATGTGTTACCGAGGGATTTGAAGTACTGGGTGAAATCGTTGTCGGTTATTTTGTTAGCGTGACCCGGTGGACAGTAAACAGACGAGATTGTAGTGGGTACATGGTTTATTGAAATTGCTATATTTGTAGCTTGAAAGAGTGTAGATTGGAATTGTGGAAGTACTGAGTGACTAATGTTAGTTTTTATTAATAATGCAGAACCAGCATGCGCAGTACCATCAGGGTGGTCGCAGTGGTATGTTGAGTAACAGGGAATATGAAAATTTGAGTGTGTGGTGAGGTGGGATTCACTAATTAGAAGTATATCTATGTTATTTACAGTAAGAAATGCTTTTAATTCATTTTTTTGATGCAATAGGCCGTTTGCATTCCAAAGAAGGATGGATATCGGGTGGAGAATAGTTTTGTGATTTTTTATCATCTTTAGAAACTATAAGTTTATTGATAGCAGTGGTTAGTAAAGAGATTAGAGGACAGATTAGGTTTTTTAGTTCTTCGAGAAAAGATGAAAGTTTGAGGGATATGTCTGGATTATGGGGAGTAAGATTGGTTGGATTGTTTGCGTTATCGGTGGTAGCTTGGGCGTAAGTTTTGGGGAAGTTTGAGGCTGAAATTGAAGTAGCGTTTACAGATGTTGGGTGAACATGATTTGATTGAGGGTTAAAGTTTTTTTTTTGATTGTAGAGTAGATTGAAATTCCTTATGGACTGGGCATCCTCGGTAATTCGCAGGGTGATCACCACTGCAGAGAGCACATTTTGCTGGAAGACTCTGGGGTTTTTGGCATGAGGTGGACAGGTGGTTGGCTCCGCAACGGACGCATTTTGGGGGATGGTTGCAATAAGATTTGGTGTGTCCAAACGCTTTACAACGGAGACATTGTATTGTTAATTTGTTGGCACGAGGTTCTTCGATTTTTATTTTGGTGTGGTACAAAAAACTGATCGAAAATATGTCTTTATTGTTGATGGCTGGCTCCAGATCAATAAAAAAGAGCGGGAGAGGAAGTTTTGTATTTCGTTGGAGAACATTGGTGATATTTCTGGTTTGATGACCTTGAGCAAGTAATTCATTTTTAATTTCATCTATTGGTGTAGTGTGGTGGAGATTTCTCAGTATTACACGATACGCTCTATCTTGCTTCAGTTGATAAGTATGAAAGTCTGCTTTTGAGTCTTGCAGAAATTTAATAACTGAGCGGTATGAGTCTGCCGAAGTAGTGGAGAGTTTTATGCCATTGGTTGAACTTTTGCAAGAGAAATGTTCACCTTTGGTTAACGTTTTGATGGAGTTACAGAAAGCATTGAAATCAGTAACTACGCGAATAAATATAGGCGGCGGTGGCTTGATGATAGGAGTGGTTGTTTCGGGTTCTGAATCAATCTCGATTAGGTTGTCGTTTTGTATTTCCGAGGGCTCGGAGTAATTTGAAAACAAAGAGAAACGATTTGATGAAACAAATGTTTTACTTAGTTGAGTGGGAGAGTTTGGAGAGTGGGGCAGCGAATGTTTACCGTTTTTATTTTTTTATTTTTTTTCTTTCGTAATGAACCCGTCGGTTTGGTCGGGAGATTGTTGAGAAGTACCATAATTATTTGACACACTCTGTAGACGAGATTTTTGTATGATCAAAGGTGGAACGGTTTTAGATTGTTGTTTATTATCTGGCATGGTGAACGGCGACGGTACGTTCTGACGCTAGATTACGGAGAAGCCCGGTAAGGCTGACCGTGCGAGACTGCGGCCGCCCGACGGCCGGCCGTATTTTTGATAGAACCGTGACGATAATTAGTTGTAGTATAATTAAATTTGTTACCGAATATGAGCTGGAGGCGCTCCTTTTGATGACTTGGTGTTGGGGTTGGCAGAACAGAAGATTGACGCTGTTGAATACGTGGAATGTTTTTTTTTTTTTTTTAAAAAACGGACTAAAACATAGTAATTTAACACGAATAGAAGGATAAACAGCGAGGCGATGTTTCATTATCAATGGTCGTGACCAAACTGCTGTTGTTCTTATAAATGAAAAAAATTATAATAAATTATATACTAAAGCAAATCAAGTCTTTGATACAATTAATTCATGGTTTAATAATAATTTTCTTGACTTAAACCTTACAAAATCTATATATATTATCTTTAGTATTCAGAACACGAATTCAGATGTTGAAAATAAATTATGTTTACATACCACACCTTGTCAAATCAGCAAATATAATAATTGTAATTGTTTAAATATTGAAAGAAGTGACTCTATCAAATATCTTGGATTATTTATTGATTTCCAACTAAAATGGGTGACACATATTAGCTATATTCTACGACTTAGCCGTAAATTCTTTTTTGTATTTAATGATTTACGATCCATATTCAATAAACAGCAATTGAGAGTTATTTATATATCTTTTGTGCAATCAGTAATTTCATATGGGATAGAGATATGGGGAGGGACTTACAATATCCATTTAAACAAAGTTAAAGTTATCATGAATAAGATTATTAAGTATATTTTACGTTTACGTAATTATACAAATACTGATTATTTATATAAAGAATTTAATGTACTCAGTTTCGATAGATTGCTTAACAAATGTACCCTACTATTAGCTTTTAAACATAAAAAATATTTTACAAATTGTAATCATAACTATAATACAAGACTAAAAAAAAATATTAATATAAACACACCAATTTGCCATAAGCATTTTGATAGCAAGAGTTGCTTAAATCGAGCGATAGCTCTTTGTAGAAAATTAGAATTTAATATTAATAATTATCCTAACTTTATTCATCTAAGCGTTATGTATTATCCATAATATAAATTTTTGTTATAACTATTCTTTTAAGTAATTTATTTATTAAGTTTTATTTTATTTTCTTATTGTAATAGTGGGGTGTGCTAACTGAAAATGATATCAAAATATTTCACGTTTGGCAACCAATGCGCCCTTTTGGATTCAGATAGTATATGGGTAAACGAGTCTAAAAATCCCGGGACACAAATTTTTCCTCCCCCCTAACGTTGTTGATAACGTTATCAATATGGCCGCCAAATTGTTGTGATGCGGTTCTACATTTTCCTATATAACTTGGGTTTGTATTTAGATATTTACCTATATTTTTAGTGATTATTAATCAGTAGAAAATTCGCTTTTTAATGACATATTTTACATTATCATTTAAGGTCATAATTTCAGAAATTTTTGTAACTTTTTTTAAAATTTTTGAATTTTATTTTGAATTTTTTAGATATTTTGCTAAATAACACGGAATCAGTTGTATTTAGCTAAAAATATGATAGAAACTTTTTTGTTCGTAAAAAAATTACCTTTCGAACAGTATATAAAACTTTGATTTTGTTCCAAACAGTCGCTGAAAATCTTCCAAAACAGTTTTGCATAGCATAAATGCACAGAGAGTCGTTCGGCAACAATGTCATTTCACTAATAATTACTATTTACTAGGCGCTATCTGTCGCATTTGATTGAAAGTTAATCTTTAGTAATTAGTTTAATTAAACATATGGTAGCGATATCATATCATTGTTATCAAATAGAATAAAACACTTTTTTCATTTTTCCTAACAACGAAAACTGTATAATAAGGTACGTAGTTTTTATTTATTTTACTTAGTTATACTACACTTCCTTTAGTACATCTAAATAGGTTATTTAATTAACTTTTAATAAGTTAACTGACACGAGATCGCCGGCCTCCTAACACTGTAGGTTAATGCGTGAGGCCATGGTATAAATAACTGTAATATTCATGTGTGTATTTATAGATAGGAGAGTCTAATCGTTATTTTGAATATAGTTTTACAATTGGAAAGCCCTGAATAATAAATATTTAGTTTGCGTCGGTCAATTTTACTCGTTATAGATTTAAAATTAAGATATAATATTTTTTTTTAATTATTAGTTTTTTTCCCTTATACACCATAGTGTCATTACTGAGTCTTTATCTCTACACCATCAATGATATACCTAGTGTATTGAATACAATGCCGATTTGAATAGCTTAATTCGGTTTAACAGTCTACCTAAATGGCTTCACGTTAATGTAACCATGTTTGGACGCCGACGGGTTTTCAACAGTCATTATCTTAACTCTTAAGGTTATAGAATCAAATTGTAATCATATTTTGGTATTAAATTCATGATAATGATAATATGTAATACCGGTGTACTACAAATAGAATACTTGTTTGCATTTAATGTGGAATACAATTCTATATTATAAAAATACAGAATTATTAAACAAAAAAAACTAACATTTTTTCTGAATAAAGTAACATTTTTTTAAATTTAAATATACAGAGCTATACAGATACATTTGTATTAATATTAATTGTTTTTTCAAAGTTTTTAAACACTGGTTGTTCTTTTTTTGTTAATTACATTTTTTCTTCTTAAGACATTTGTCTGGTTCATTTCTTATTTTTTGCTATAAACTGTGTGCTTTATAATAAAAATATATCTTAAAAAGGTTAACATCAGATCCTAATATTTTTTATTCATTCCTATTAGATAGTGTCGGTATATATATATATATATATATATTATAATACAATAACCATATTCCGGGTTTTACATTTTGTAATAATTAAATTTAAATGTTTTTATTACAATAGCACAATAAAAATATTGAAAGGGACTTCATCTTATTAAAAGATATTATCTTTCGTCTCCCTCAAAGAAAGAAAAAAATTGCCTGATTATGATAAAAAAGAGGAAACATGAATTGGTTGATGCTACGACTGACCCAGTGGTGGCTCCGTTTGTATGGGACCTGTGTTTGTTATGCCAGAAGCATTCAAAAGAGCGCTTAATCATTCCGAAGTATGAAGGTTATTTGACGATGGCGAAGAATCTTGGCATTTTTGCTGAACATGGTCAGCTTCCAAGTGGTATAAGACATTTGAAGCAGTTGGACGATGGAAATGGTGTTTTACAAACACTAGTGGCCCATGCAGCAAAATATCATAAATCGTGTAAAAACAAATATGACAGTCAAAAAGCGGAAAGAATATCTAGTGAAAAGAAACAGAAAGGTCGGCCCCTTTACTCAGACCAAACTAAATCTACATCAAAATTAACAAGATCATCATTATTTTGTTCAGATTTGAAAAACGTGTGTCTGTTTTGTGATGAAGGAGGCAAAGATAATCTTGTGATTGCATCCACTCTGGGTATTGGTCCTACAATTCATAGTCATGCTGTAAAATTACAAGATGAAAAACTGTTAAAGAAGTTAACGTCAACAGATTTGGTAGCATTAGAAGCCAAGTACCACAAACTATGTTATACTCGTTTTCTAACACGTGCAAGAGCTGCTGAGCGTTCTCAAAGAGAAGATTACCATAATCCCGAAGAAGTTGTTTATGGTACAGTTATAACGGAGTTGGTTCAATACATGCAGGATTTGTACTCATTTAGTAGTATTTCTCCAGTGTTTAAACTTTCTAGTATTACAAAATTAGTGAGCGAACGCATGACTAACTTGGGAATACAAACTGAAGAAAAGAATATTAATAGAACACGTCTCAAGGAACAATTATTAGCATTTACACCTGGCCTGAGAGCAGATAAGTCAGGACGTGAAATAATTTTAAGTTTCGAAGGAGATGTTGGCGATGCCATTCGTGATGCCTGTGCATTTAATGACTTTAGTGATGGTATGTGTCTGGGACGTGCTGTACGTATATTACGAAGACAACTGTTTGAAGATTTTCCTAAATTTGAAGGATCCTTTAACAAATCATTTACTCCTTCCGCATCTGTACCTGCTGTTCTGATTCATTTTGTACGTATGTTATTAGAGGGTCCTAATATCGAATCGGTTGGTTCATCAGAAAAACCTGCAGGAAATAATGCAGAATTGTCAATTTCACAACTTATTAGATATAACAGCATTAAGCATAAAAGAAAAGAAAATGTTCAGAGTATACGCCACTCTCTGGAGAGAGAAACACCACTCCCACTATACGTAGGTCTCATGATTCACGCTGTCACTAAAAAGAAAAAAATTATAGATAAATTGTATCGTTTGGGTTTGAGTGTTTCATATAATCGAGTGCAAGAAATATCAGCCACAGTTACCAATGAGTTATGTAAAAAATATAAGGAAGATGGTGTTCACCCGCCAAAGTTGTGTCCCAATGTGTTTGTAACATCAGCAATAGATAACATCGACCATAATCAATCTTCTTCTACCGCCGTTACTTCTTTCCATGGGTCAAGTGCTACGATTATTCAGCATCCCCGCAGTGAAGCAGTTACGGAGATTTACGATGACAGCATTCGTATTCAGCTGTGGAACAAACAAATTATCAATGATCTCCCTGAATATTACACTACACTTCCTGCAACTGGTAAAGTCAGAAGTGACCCACCTTTGACAACTGTCAATCCACAATACATTGACCATGAGCTTGCCTTCAACCCTAGGAAAGTTTTAAATCCTTGGCTTAACTCTGTCCTGGAGAGATTGTATATTGATGACACACAAAGAATAGATTATGTACCTAAAGTATCGTTTGCTGCTTTTCATGCACAAAATGAACCTGGTGTTAGAAAAACAAGGTGTAATGCCCCATTGCTTCCACTTCTAAATGACGAAATTGCGACACCAGCAATGGTACGGCATATGATGGATATCATAGTAATAGCTACAGCAAAATTAAATGGAAATCAAGCACCCGTGATTACATGTGACCAACCAGTATATGCTATTGGGAAGCAACTGCAATGGAAATTTCCTGACAAGTATGGAGAGGATCGCATCATATTCATGATGGGTGGTCTTCACATAGAAATGATGGTCATAAACTTACTTGGAAAGTGGTTAATTGGCAGTGGCTGGACTGAATTAGTAACAACGGCTGGTATTGCAAGTTCTGGTGTTGCGGAATCCTGCCTTACATCGTCGCATGTAAAAAGATCTCGGTATGCACACGAAGTTACTTTAACTGCGTTACATTGTCTACAGGTACAAGCATTCAACAAAGAATGTGAAAAAAATGTCAACACCAGCGGAGAAGGCATTGAAGTGTGGATTTTGTCTAAAACATCTGAATGTCCTCAGTTTCAGTATTGGGACACAGTTATCAAACTGGAGTCTCTTCTAGTGCAACTGATATTGAGTATTCGTACATCTAACTTTAAAATGTACGTCGATACTTTGGCTCAATTATGTCCATGGACATTTGCGTTGGACGCAGTCCACTATTCTCGTTGGTTGCCAGTTTTCGTACGCACTCTACAGGACCTTCCAGAAAAACATCCAGATATACATGCTGAATTTCTTCGTGGCAACTTTACAAGCACCAAAACTGCTAAACCATTTTCTGCAATATCCGACGACCAGCTTCATGAACACAATAATAAGTTTATAAAGGGCGAAGGTGGAGCTATTGGGATTCTTGATAATGAAAATGCTCTACTTAAATGGATGGTATCAGGCCCTAGGATCAGTTCTTTAATTGAGGAATTTGAAAAGAAATCATTTTTAAAAGATGAAAAAGACGTGGGTGCAAAGCACCATGAAGATAATAATGCATTTGAGAAAAGGTTTTTGACCCATGTCAAAGAAATGATTAACGTCTTTACCGAAAATGGAAATCCGTTTGAAGAAACCGATTTGGTGTCAATAGGAAGTTCCAAAGTAATTGCAAGTGTCGAAGCTGTAAAGTGTGTTACAGAAGCATTTACTTTGGGACTACAACAGTATAATGAATTTGTCGTGTCTCGTCTTAATCTAGTACAAAATTCAATTCATGAAATTATTCCTAGAACCAATATCAAAATCTTCAAGACTATAAAAAAAAAAACGGATAAGGCAAAGTCTAAGATTGCTAACTTGCGTAAAGACTCTAATTTGTTCTGTAGATTGTATGTCGCATCTGAAGCTCGGGATGCAAATATTGATGATTTCTTTTCTCACGAAAACCAAATGTACCCGCCATCTATATCAGAAGATGGAAAGCTCCGAAAGCCAACCAATAAGTCTGATATTATTGACTGCATACAAACAAAATGTGACATTAGCTTTAATGACAGCCAACCTATTGTAACAGCCAAAATGTTTGATGGAGCAGCTGTAATACACATGCTTAAGTTTTATATACTGTTCGAAAGGTAATTTTTTTACGAACAAAAAAGTTTCTATCATATTTTTAGCTAAATACAACTGATTCCGTGTTATTTAGCAAAATATCTAAAAAATTCAAAATAAAATTCAAAAATTTTAAAAAAAGTTACAAAAATTTCTGAAATTATGACCTTAAATGATAATGTAAAATATGTCATTAAAAAGCGAATTTTCTACTGATTAATAATCACTAAAAATATAGGTAAATATCTAAATTCAAACCCAAGTTATATAGGAAAATGTAGAACCGCATCACAACAATTTAGGCGGCCATATTGATAACGTTATCAACAACGTTAGGGGGGAGGAAAAATTTGTGTCCCGGGCTTTTTAGACTCGTTTACCCATGTACTATCTGAATCCAAAAGGGGGCATTGGTTGCCAGACGTGAAACTTTTTTCGGCTACCTAACCCCACTATAATGGTATTAGATGTCACTCAACTAACGCCTGTTAATCTAAGATCGCCTCAACATAATTTTGTTTACTTTATTTTCTATTTTATTTAATCTCAAATCTCTCATATCTATTTTATTACTACCTACTAGATATTAATAGTATTTGAATTAAGGCCTTAATTAAGAACCTCTCACCTTCACCGGTAGTTGGAAAAAAAATCCCCGGAAAAAAAATCCCCAGTAGCATTATACCGGTAGTATTAAATTATTTTATAAATTATATTATATGAAAAATAAAATAAATATTGTACCTATATTATGTTAAAAATTGTTATTTTATAATAAATTAAATATTACTAAATATATAAATGTATTATATTATACGCATATAAAATGTATGCCATGATGGATAAATTTTCGGCGTTTTGAACAGTATACTCGAAATCGCGATCAAGATGTAATTCCAATTTCCAAGTGACCAATTAGTTGTTATTTGTTTCAGTTCCGGTTTAAGATTAGATAGTAGACAACACGCATCCTATAAACGTCGTTAAGAGTGTTTTTCCAATGTAGGTACTCGTACTTTATAGGTATTCAGGTAGGTACACAATTAGAGATAATGAACTTTTTTCGATTGCAATAAATTGATGTTTTAGCGATCATATTATATGGGATAGGTACCTATACGGCTATACTGCAAAGAAACTGCGCTCAGTCATTTGTTGGCACTGAATTAGTTTACTACATAGTATATCCTTAAAAATGGAATTACTAAAAACACAACGAGGGTATAAAATTGCATATAAAGGCCATATGTATACATTACAAAAAATATGTTTGAATTTTATTCGTTGACGTTGTTCAAAATTTAGTTCGCTTAAGTGTCCGTGTATTTTAAAAACGTGCTTAAATATAGATAAACCAACGTTTTTAACTTTAAATAATGACCACGTGCATGAGATAAATGACAATTTAATTGGTGCAGCTAAAGTGAAACGATTAATGATCGAAAAGGCGAAATCATCACATGCAACACCTAGTCAAATATATTCGGAAATAGTTGCCAATTATTGTACTACCAATGTACTGGCAGAATTACCTCGAGAGGATTATTTAAAACGGTCGATTCAAGGTAATCGAGGGCATAATGATCCAGCTAAGCCAAAAACAATTAACGATATTACCTACTATAGAAGGTAAGTGTAATTTTTCAAAATTAACTTAATTGAAAAAATTATAATATTAGAAATGTATTAGTATTTATTAATCATTATTATTACAATATGCCCGTATGCCGCAGCACGATTTAAGATATCTTAAAGTATATCTTAAATCGTGTGCCGCAGTATGGTATGGTAAATAAGTTAGGGTAAAAATTAAGTTAATGAAAATTAAATTTTAAAAAGTTAAGTTAAAAGTTAAAATTAACTTAACTTTTAACTTTTTTCGCGTTTATGCCCAGTCTTGTAAATAGTATATTATATATATATTATATATATTTTGTAGGTCAATGGAGCTTATACCGTGAAGAGAGATTTTTTTGCATGATAATCGAAAATCAAACGAACGCATAATAATGTTTGCTACTGACTATGGGCCCTCATTATTAGCTGAGGCTCAAACATGGTTTGTTGATGGGAACTTTGGACTTGCACCAAATTTTTTTACACAGTTATATGTAGTACGAGTACAAAAAGATTCGGTATTTATTACTGCTATTTATTGTATCTTAGAACGAAAAACGCAATCAACCTATAAACATATATTTCGAGTTATTATGGAAGAGTGTAAAAAGCGTGATTTATACCCTGATCCTTTAAATTTTAATTTAGATTTCGAATTAGCTGTCATAAATGCAGCGAAGTTAATTTTTGGAAATGACATAAACATTCGAGGATGTTTTTACCACCTCTGTCAATCAACTTACAGAAAAGTTCAAGAACTAGGTTTGTCAAACAGATATCAAGAAGATGAAGGTTTTCGATTGTTTTGTGCAATGATTGACAGTTAAGCTTTCTTACCATTAAATAACGTAAAAGAGGGGATGGAGTGTTTAAAGCAAAACATACCAAATGATTAATGAAGCAGATGATTTATTAATTTATTTTGAGGCTTATTATGTAAATGGCGCTTACAAACGAATTAAGAATGCAGCTGGAGTTAATGTTAATGTGCGTCTTCGAAGACTACAACCTATGTTTCCACCTAATACTTGGAATGTTCATGATACAACCCTTCATGGTAGCCACAGGACAAACAATCCTACTGAAGGATGGAACAATCGCTTTGCACATTTAGTCGGTCAAAAACATCCAACAATATGGAAGTTAATTAGAAAAATTAAAAATGAAGTAGCTGCAGATCTAGCAAAGTTGGCTTTAAATGATGTAGGTGAGCCATTCAATAAAAGAAAACAATTAGGGTTGACCCAAACTACCGAAAAAATATTGAAAGAACTATGTACACGAATCCAAAATGATGAAATAAATGTTGAAGACTTCCTAAAAGCGATTGCTCATAACATCAGAAAGCGCTGTAATGACTAGGTAATATTATAATTACATTACTTTTTACGGTACCTAATATACAATATTTATTTATATTACCTATTGGGTAAAAGACAATTTTTTATAAAATGACAACTTTTAAAATAATATACAATATTAATTTTACTTATATTATATAATTTATAAAATATTATATTATATTAGCATATTATGACATATTTATAAAATAATTCTTATAAACTATTTATATTTAATTATTTTTAATATTTTTTTATACATTTTTTATTGTATTTTTAAGGTATAAGACAGTTTTTATAAAATAACAATTTTTAACATACCTAATAGTACGGTACCTAATATACAATATTTATTTTATTTTTAATATATAATTTATTATATATTAAATTATCTATATTATCCCCGGTATAATGCTACTGGGGATTTTTTTTTTGCGGGGATTTTTTTGAGGGATATTTTTCCCGGGGATTTTTTTTCCGCAATTCCCTTCACCACAAGCTTTGCTTAAAGGAGGTGAGCAAACAAACTTATTAATGTATTATTTATTGTAACTTTTATTTTACCAAATACCATTTGTTTGCAAATACATATATATTATTATTATTATTAAATATTGTTACTCCATATTTGATGTTTCCAATTTATGTATTTATTAAGATTTAGTTAGTATAATAATAAAAATTATTATTATTATTATTATTATTATTATTATATCATAGTATAATTATAATAAAATACTAATTGTTGTTTTTAACTATGTTATGTTTTTATTTTGTTATTATAGATCATATATTGGCTTCACTGTTCACTGGCTTAATCCCGAAACACTTGAAAGCACGGACTAAGATATACAGGACTGGCGACGATTACGATAAAGCGGTCAGAAAAAGGTATACTAGCGGCGGGTGTACGGAGGGATCTTCCTTTTTGAGCCTCAGCGCTACCTGGTGGCAATAAATACCATTGCTCTTTTCAAATAATCCACGACAAACCAATAATTAATAATTGTTCAGTTAGAACTTAAATTATTAATTATTATAACAAGTTAGTTCAATCTCATATATATGGATACCTGTTATTTATTTTCTTCAATTTATATTTTGCTTTTTGAATATCTTTAAAAGAAGATAGTCGAGTAAGTGTGTGTCCGATGTATTTATTTTTGGTTTCTTTATTTGGAGTTTCACGTTTCCATTTATAAACTCTAAATTTATTCAATAGTTTTTCACAATTCACACATCTTTTCTTATTTAAAATTGCCAGGTATTTACAATTTAGAGGACGCCAAATTTTATTTGAACCTAAATTTGTGTTTTCAACTTGTATTCCTATAAATTAAATTACATTATATACTCATATAATTTCTATTATTTTAAAGAACAATGTCTTCTGTTGTTCAGACAGAAAATACGAGAACTCTGACAGCCAAGACGGTTGAACTCTGGCTTTTGGGTCTGGGAAAAAAAACGCGAAAATATTTCTAAGTCCATATCACATCTATAATATTATCACTACAGCAATACTCTGCAGTGTTGCCATAATAATAATTTTATGTACCACAATAAAAATGTATACTACGTAATAATGGTAATAATCACAAAAGTATTCTAAGTTCAAAATAATCAATTTATTCACTCGTTCATTTTCCAAAGTAATTAAGTCCAAAATAATATTTCAAAAGTGTAAACTATTACGACCACCTAGGCTTTCGCATTTTTGGCTTTTGGGTCTGAGAAAAAATGTAGAAATATCGAAAAACGTCTAAGAGGTTTTTTATTCGTATGCCGTTATAGAAAAATATCCTGTAGTCGGATTTTTGATTTTTCAATTTTCCGACCACTTTTCACGGACCACCTTGGCTTTTGGGTCTGGGAAAAAATGTAGAAATATCGAAAAACGTCTAAGAGGTTTTTTATTCGTATACCGTATTAGAAAACCATCCGGTAGTCACATTTTTGATTTTTCCATTTTTCCACAGTTTTTCACTGCACACGAAATTTACATTATTTATTTTATTAAATATATCAAACAACTATAATTATTGTTGTATTTAATAAATAAATTGTTTATTTTAATTTCTTATATCATATTTTTTTAAATATATAATAATATATTTATTTAATATGATATAATCATAAGAACTTTAAAATGTGGTGGCCCTAAAAAGGGCCGTTTTAAATGAGTGCGCTAATCACGCAGCGGAGGATCGTCGAAGTTATCTGTGGAAATAAAAATTTAATATTATTGGTTTTTTATAGTTTATATGCACCTAGAGTGGAAATTTATCTCGTACTACTGACGATTGTCACTGTCCAGAATGCTAGAGGTACCTTTTTTAGGGCCACCACATTTTAAAGTTCTTATGATTATATCATATTAAATAAATATATTATTATATATTTAAAAAAATATGATATAAGAAATTAAAATAAACAATATATTTATTAAATACAACAATAATTATAGTTGTTTGATATATTTAATAAAATAAATAATGTACATTTCGTGTGCAGTGAAAAACTGTGGAAAAATGGAAAAATAAAAAATGTGACTACCGGATGTTTTTCTAATACGGTATACGAATAAAAAACCTCTTAGACGTTTTTCGATATTTCGACATTTTTTCCCAGACCCAAAAGCCAAGGTGGTCCGTTAAAAGTGGTCGGAAAATCGAAAAATTAAAAATGTGACTACCGGATGTTTTTTCTAATACAGTATACGAATAAAAAACCTCTTAGACGTTTTTCGATATTTCTACATTTTGTCCCAGACCCAAAAGCCAATAAGGGGGTCCGTGAAAAACTGTGGAAAAATGGAAAAATCAAAAATGTGACTACCGGATGTTTTTCTAATACGGTATACGAATAAAAAACCTCTTAGACGTTTTTCGATATTTCGACATTTTTTCCCAGACCCAAAAGCCAAGGTGGTCCGTGAAAAGTGGTCGGAAAATCGAAAAATCAAAAATCCGACTACAGGATATTTTTCTATAACGGCATACGAATAAAAAACCTCTTAGACGTTTTTCGATATTTCTACATTTTTTCCCAGACCCAAAAGCCAAAAATGCGAAAGCCTAGGTGGTCGTAATAGTTTACACTTTTGAAATATTATTTTGGACTTAATTACTTTGGAAAATGAACGAGTGAATAAATTTGAACTTAGAATACTTTTGTGATTATTACCATTATTACGTAGTATACATTTTTATTGTGGTACATAAAATTATTATTATGGCAACACTGCAGAGTATTGCTGTAGTGATAATATTATAGATGTGATATGGACTTAGAAATATTTTCGCGTTTTTTTTCCCAGACCCAAAAGCCAGAGTTCAACTAGAGGTTTAAATAATTAAATTTTAAATTAAAAATAATTATAAATTTATATAATATATAAAATTATAAATTAATTTAATTTTAATGTTAAAACCAAGAACAAAGAAATACAACTTTTAGTAAAATGTCAATTATCTAAATATTGTAAAAATACAATATATTATATATGTTATATATTTATATACAAACAGTAGTAATATAATAGGAATATAATTTACAGTGTATTATACAGTGTACAAAATATTATAAATATTGTGAATATAGTGAAATTTACTAAAATGTACTTAAATGGTGGTTAACAAAATCTAATACACTTTTAGTGAATAAAACAATTAATGTAATTAATACATTTTTCATTAATTTACAACAAACATCGTGAAATTGACTTATTAATGTTATTTACATAATATAATTTAGGTACATTAGAATCTTAAATTAACATTCAAATTAAATCAATTGTCTGCACTATCTGTACTATCTATACAAATAACACAGACATTACATACATTGTTTGACATTAGTTACGGCTTCACATTATAGTGAATCCGCATCCAGAGAGAACCACGAGGAGGTTGTCAAACTTTCTCTCCGTTTAGCCCGAAGGCAAGGTCATCATGAAGTACCTATCCACGGAGACCACGTAGAACAGCGGTGTAACGTATTAAGTTTGAAAAAACTGTTACACATGTTAGGTTTAAAGTCAACCAGACTATCATCGGGCGCATGTAGTACACAGACCAGTATAACAGCGGTGTAACGTATTATGTTTGAAAAATATGTTACACATGTTAGGTATTATGTGATACCTCCACGGAGACCACGTAGAACAGCGGTGTAACGTATTAAGTTTGAAAAAACTGTTACACATGTTAGGTTTAAAGTCAACCAGACTATCATCGGGCGCATGTAGTACACAGACCAGTATAACAGCGGTGTAACGTATTATGTTTGAAAAATATGTTACACATGTTAGGTATTATGTGATACCTCCACGGAGACCACGTAGAACAGCGGTGTAACGTATTAAGTTTGAAAAAACTGTTACACATGTTAGGTTTAAAGTCAACCAGACTATCATCGTCATCTTTGATCATCGGGCGCATGTAGAACACAGACCACGTAGAACAGCGGTGTAACGTATTATGTTTGAAAAATATGCTACACATGTTAGGTTTAAAGTCAACCAGACTATCACCATCATCTAGACTCGATCGTCGGACGTCACCTAGAATATACTTACCACGTATTGCATTACAGAACTTCCCTGTAGACGATGTTCTTGGTGACGAATCGCCCGCTGTCATCGGCGTGCATGCCGACTCTCACGGACTGTGCGTTTCTCACCCTCGAAAACGCCACGTACAGCTGGCCGTGAGTGAACGGAGGCGACGTCAGAAGCAAACCTACCCTGTCGAACGTCTGACCCTGGGACTTGTTGATGGTCATGCCGAACGACAGCCTCACCGGGAATTGAGTGCGCCGCATTGGAACGGGCAGGTCGTCCTCACCGCTGGACGTGAGCGGTATCTTGGGCAGGACGATGTCGTCGTCCTGTGGGTCACCGCCCAAAATCCTCGCCTTGAAATTGTGTCGCCGCAGTTCGGTGACCACCAACCTCGTACCGTTGCACAGTCGTCTCCTAGGATCGAGATTTCTGAGCAACATCACGATGCACCCCACCTTCAACTCGAGCCGGAACGGCGGCAGGCCGTCCGGTTTCAAACCGTTGAGGAACTCTGTGGGGAAATTGGCCACTTCGTCGGCCCCGTCCACCACCGCGGTGTCGACGGCCTGGTAGGTCTCCGGATTACCGGCGAAGCGCTCCAGCACGTCCGCGTTGACACCTCTGCACTCTTCGTTGGTGGGACACACGACGACTCTCCGAGCAAATTCTTCGACGTTGGCCAACGACATTTGCTGCGGATACACGAAATCGATTAAATCGGCGGGGTCGCATACCATTTCCCGTGGGATTTGCACGGTGTCCGGAACGCCGTCGACCGCGGGCAGTCGGCCGTTGCCGAGCTGAAGCAACCAAGACGCAAAGTCCGCGTCGTTGCCCGCGCGAATGTTCCGTACCAGATCGAAGCGCTCCATGACGTTCCAAAGACCGTTTTTCTTCATTGAAGACATGACGATATCTGCTCTCGTCCCTTTCCGGATCACGTGCAATATCTGCCTGAAGTCTTCGGCAAACCGCATGGTTTTACCGCCGAACGGTAATTCCGATACCATGACGTCCCTGAGCAGGCGGTCCACCAGCGTCAGTTGCAGTCCCGGCGACATGGGGGCTTCGTCCCAGACGATGAGAGCCGCGTTGCGTATCCTCTGCGCTCGCGCGGACTGCATGGTGATGGTGGACGTCGAGTCTTCGGTGAGCGTGCCGAACGGCAGTCCGAACATCGAGTGCACCGTCATGCCGCCGTCCATGAGCGACGCGGCGATCCCGGTGTACGCGACGCACAACACCTCCCGCGGCTGTGGTCGGTGTCGAAGCGACCATATCAGGCATCCGTACAGCGTAGTCTTTCCGGCACCTCCGGGTTCGTCGACGAAGAAAGTTCGCGACGCCTCGCGCGGGTCGTCGACGGCCACCATCACGCGGTCGTACACCGTTCGCTGTTCGGCATTCAAGGCGTCCACTTGTGGGGCCCACCTTGCCTCCGCGTCTATTTCTCGGAACAGCGCATCGTCCTGCTGCAGTGGTTCCAGTAGAAGGGGGGTCGGCCAGGGGCAAACCGTAGTCGACCGGCGACTTTCCGTGCGCACGAAGTAGATCCTCGATGGCTGCCAGACACGCGGCCCTCGCGCGGTCGACGTCTTGGAGTCGTCTGTTGAAGTCCTCCATCAGGTTTGCTTCGTTCGCGCCGTACAACGCCAGCGAGTTTGAGGGCTCGCAGAACACCAGTATGGTGACGAACAGATACCGCAGTTGCCGCGGTGTGTCCAACGTCGCCGATTCCGTCAAACAATCCCGCCACGCCCGGTCGTCTTCCAACAGTCCGAGTGCAACCGCAGCCACCGTGAATGTTTCGTGAACGACCCCGTCCACCGTCCTTAAGTCTTGAAAGGACTGCGGGCCTCTTCGGTTCAGAAGTATCAATCTCAAGTGGAAACGGTCGGGAGCGCGTATAAACCTGGAATTTAAATACTTGGAATGTACAAACCTGGAATGTACAAATCTGGAATGCACAAATCTGGAATGTACAAATCAAGAACTCCAAATTTAAAAACCTGGAATGTACAAACATGGAATGTACAAATCTGGAATGCACAAATCTGGAATGTACAAATCAGGAACTCCAAATTTAAAAACTTGGAATGTACAAATCTGGAATGCACAAATCTGGAATTTACTAATCAGAACTCCATATTTAAAAACCTGAAATGTACAAATCTGGAATGTACAAATCAGGAAATCCAAATTTAAAAACCTTGAATATACAAATCAGGAATGAATAAATCTTCAAATGCACAAATCACAAATCTAATATAACAACATTTTATTATGATCATACCTGCCATGATTTATTAGTAAAATACTTAAATACTTCACATTTTTTATCAAATAAAATAACTAAATCTTTATTAAAAATAACTCTTGCTGATTTTAAATTATCAATATTATAGTTTAAAGTAATAGAATTTCCTGGGTGAATAAAATAAAACTTATTGACATTTAGTGGTACCTAAGTAATTAATTATCATTACTCCAATTTACTACTTAATCTAAATTAAGCTGCAATTTAATTAAGTCAGAAGGAGATTCAATGATTGAAAATATTTTGGTATCATCAGCAAATAAATAAGTAAACTGTGCAGTCAAAAATCTTATACAAATCATTTATAAACAGAATAACAAGAGTGGGCCCAAGTGTCACATTGGCTTATTTTATCATACAGTGGATCTTAATTAAATACTAAACACATTATGTAGGTATTTCAAATATTCACTACACTGGCATTCAGTTTTGAAGGGGTTTTGTATAGGCAACCCTACAGAACATCCTTCGAAATTTCCTATTTTCCTTTCAAAATAGTTGCACATATGAAATGGTTCACTCATTCATAATTATCTAACTTGTCAATTCTATCATTTTTTAGGAATATTTGTCTAAAAACTAAATTTTTAAATTTCTGGTTGTTACGTTTTCTAAAATAAAGTTTAGAATAAAGTTCAAAATAATTATTACTCTAAATGTTAAACATACGTATACCATAAGGAAACGTCTGGTTATACGAAAAATCACATAATTCATTTTCAAACTTTTTGCTACTCCGATTAAAAGCGAAATAATGGCCGTACGTACTTCGACCATAGACCCTTATTTTTTATTCTCGTACGCCAAAATACTGGGATCTCGAGTTTCGTAATGATTGAACCAAAACCCGAAATCCAAAATACATGTAAAACTAAGTTATTTTTTAAGCATAAAAAACACGCGAGACATCATAACTCCCGAACTGAAAGTCCAAGAACCTCGATCTCGGTACCCATCGATACTGTCAAAGTTCTCTATAACATCCGACTATAAAAAGTTGTGTTGGACCAAAGTGAGTTTAAAATCTAATAAACAAAAATTAAAAAGACAAAAAAAAATTAAAATATAATAACAGCAAAATGTATTGAATTTATAAATAAATGAAAACATTAATTAATATAAATGTACTAACTTCTAAACAGATAAGTAAAAAAAAACAGGTAAAAATAAAATAAGACAATATAAAAACTTAAATATTATTAAATTATTAAATGCATAATTATTATTAGGAGATAAAGATAGTATTTAATTGATTGATTGTTTTTTATTTGAAGATTTAACCTGACTTAAATTAGTTAAATTAAGATTATATTTCCTGCATACAGCATTTTCAACATGTAGTTATACATTTTTTTTTTTTTTTTATAATAATAATAACTTTATTTCAGAAACACAATTTAAATATTAAATATAATATTTTTTCTGACCCAATAAGCTTATAATAAGTATAACTTGTATTAGGTTGTTTGAGTCTTTATAATAATATAATGTATTAATAAATATATACATTTTACTATTTAATCTAAAGCTTTAATGTCCTAAGACAGTTCCTTGAGGTACAGAGTGTTTAAGAATCAGAGGTCTGCTATGCACATTATTAATTTTAACGGTTTGAGTTCTGTTATTTATGTAAGATTCAAAAAGATTATTGGCTAGCTGATCCTCTTCTTCCAGCGTTCTCAAGTTTTTTTTAAAAGCAACGAGTGGTTAACGGTATTCGGTCTTCGTTATTACTCAATTATTGTTGATTATTATTTATTATTAATATCATAGGCACAATTTCAGTTTTTGACCTGGAGGGGCTTTACATATTTAAATGAAACGAAACCTCTGTGGGAGGCTCTGCCTCCCAGACCCCATGTTAAAATGCCTTTAAAATACATTACTTCATAGTTAATTTTAATATTATATAACATAATATAAAATTTTTCACGCCCGCTTTCCTACCTACGTTTAATTTAGGTACATATAACATTTTATAATTATGCATCTACCTATTACTAAAATGAAAAATACGTATTGACACTAAAACAAATTAGAAACAAGTGAAACAACATTTATGTGAGGTACCTACTTAAATATAATATTATATTATAATTGTAACTTGTAACCGTCGATTCGAAATTAGAAATTTATAAAAAAAAAACAAATAACAATATCATAAAAAATATATAGAATAGTGATAATGGGTTTGTGCCTTGTGGACTTGATAGTTGAAATGAATCTATAAATATTGATTATTGTATTGTGTATTACAATACCTAATAATAAAACATAACAGCAAAAACATATTTACAAAGTTACAAATAATAATATATTTTTTTGAATTACAACAAAATAACCAAAATCGCTTATAAAAATACAATTTTTGAAAAAAAAATTGGCGGGCATTTTTGTTTTGCCAATTTGTCAATCTTTAGATCAAGACACGACTTTTTCGAAAACAAAAATATTATCTCGAGGGTTGACTGCTCCGATCCTTGAAGATTTCATAACGATAGCACTTGTATTGAATGATTTGGGTTTACCATATAATACGAATTTGAAAAACCTATCCAAAAACCCAAATCCTTCAATAAAAATGCTATCATTATGAAATCTTCGAGGATAGGAGCAGAAATGTCTCTAGACTAGATCCCTGTGTTAAAAAATTTATTAACTCAATTATAAAGGGGGTAAATGTTGAGTTCAAAATTTAAATTTTTCAAGTAAGGAAATTTTGTTTTGCCGATTTCTAAAACTTAGAATCGCGACGCGTTTCTTTTAAGAACAGAAATTTGATCTAAAGGTCTCACTGCGTTGTACCTCGAAGATTTCAAGACCAAGGAGCAAGTACTTCAAAATTTACATCCAGCCGTTCCAATTTTGTGTTGTTAGCTCAATATATATATTAGAGTGAATTTACCTATTATTTTATAGGTTTTAATATTTTATTCTTATATACCAATCGATTTACATTAATAAATAATGAGCCAAACGCCTACTAAAATATATGCGAAAAAAAAGTTCAAAATAATTAGTTCTTAAAACGTCAAACAGACGTATGCTATAAGCATCATACAACAGCCTATGCCTGTAGCTTATTTAGAAGTAGTTACCTATTCATATAACGACATCAATATTAAATCTTTTTAAGTGTGTTAAACATGAGCAAGTGCTTATATAATTGATGAACTTTAAATTTCAATCATCACAGTTAGGTAATGATGTATACGTCTCGAAAATGCTTATAATTAAATGTGTTTTGTTATAATACTATAATACGACATGTCTTAAAATCTACTAATGCTGTACAATAGATATAGACATCCACAGGACGTCCGCGGTAGAATAGTACCTACTCACACGTCATGTTGTCCGGCAGAGAGGCACAATGAAAGTAACGGGCGTCGGACGCGTTACATATCACACGCAGAAAAACATATAATATTCTACGATAATTGGGTTGATTATTGGCCGGTATTTGATTATAACGTAGTGTCGGCCGGTTAACTCGACCACGGGTACTAGGCAGCGGTGATAGTGTATGTGTACGTCGATTATCGTAATATGCATATCGCCTTTGTTTTGGATGTTGGCAGAGATGCCCGCGGGACGGAGAGCGCTATCGTATAGTATTTATCATTATTATCGTTGTTCATTTTCGACCGTTACAACACTTTGTGTTTGTAAAGAATGTTTAAAATTTAATCACATTATAATACAATATATACTTATAGGCAGTATGGCGAAAAATGAAAAAGCTTGGATACTTACAATTAGTAAATAACAATGAATTTGCTTTAAAAACACTCAAAATGCTCATGGTTCTACCGTTACTTCCTGCACAAAGAATTGAGGAAGGCTTTATTGACATTAAACAATATTCGATTGTTTATCATGTTAATTTACGCAGATTATTTAATTATTATGAACGGTATTACATTTATCAAAATTACTAAATTGTAAATTCAGCATCTACTTTTATAAATATCAAAATTATATTTTTAGATTTTGGTTGCGCAAAATAGGTGCTCCATTGATATCGGTGTACAAAAAAAAAATTAGGACCAACAACAACGTTGAGTCCTTCCATAATAAATTAAGGCAAACATTTCAGACTTCTCACCCAAATATTTGGGCATTTTTAAGTAATGTATATTAGTAATTAATACTTGTTTTACATTCTATTTATATTTTTATTATTTTAGGTAACATTTGCAAACTTAATGACTTATATTTGATAAAAATCAATCAACTTGATAATGGTTTGGCTATCTCGCGTAATACGCGTTCAAAATATGTGGCCAACGATTTACGCATTAAAACTGCAAGTAGACAACTTGCTTGATAACCATAAGAATGTTTCTGTTAAAATGCTCCTATAGTGTAGCCAGTTATGAGGAGAGGATGCGTGCAATGGTATTAATGCAAAATATTAATGAAGAAAATGCACCTCATGGTCAGGGTGAACAAAACGATGAAGAACGTGTCTTTGAAGATGGTATGTATAATAACTCATGAAAAAAATCACGTTACATTATTTATGACTGTGTTGGATTTCAGATGAATTTGTTGCAAATGTTATGTCACCAGAAGGTCAAGATGACCAAAATTATGAAGAATGTGTCTTTGAAGATGGTATGTATAATAACTCATGAAAAAAATCACGTTATATTATTTATGACTGTGTTGGATTTCAGATGAATCAGTTGTAGTTAATTATTGTAATGTTATTTTGTTTTTTTCTGAGTAACAAATTAGTAAATTCTCAAATCTAATGCGTCTTAAATCTTAAATCTTATGCTATAATATTTTTTCTAGATGAAAATGATTTTATTATCCCAGAGGATAGAGAAATGAATATTTGGCAACAATTATTTATGAATGATTCAGATGAAGATGTACAAGATATACCATTTGTACAAGTACCTCAGAACTTGGGGGAACTTTATCCACCTCAAAACGAAGAACAAATATGTGTTGTGTGTAGAAATGCTCAGAGAACACATGCGCTTGTGCCTTGCGGGCACAGGGTGTTATGTATAGATTGCGTAGAACAGTTAGAACTATTGCGATGTCCAATTTGTAATCAGGATTTTAGCCTTGCTTTAAGAATATGGTAAATGTATAAAAAGTAATACCTATAAGTTTACATAAATGTATATAAGTAATGAATAAAGCACAAATCTTAATTGAATACATTTATTTTAAATACTTGATACTTTCTCCAAATATATGTCATAATAATAATAAGTCAAATTGTTATGCTAATAAATAATAATATTATATTATTAGGTACATAATCGAATCTAGTGATAATAAGTTAGTAGATAGTATCACAGACTTGAAACTTAAAACAACTATATTTTAGTAATTTCTTATTAAAATGATACCTTATTGAACAGTTGTATGGATAAGTTATAAATGTATAATATATGTTAAAAGGTTATAATGTAAAAGATATAAATTTGGTAAGTATAAATAGGTATAATAGGTACAATCAGTGTCACAAATAGGAAAATGTTCATTTTTCCTAACAACTAAAAGAAGATAAATTTAGAAGTATTTATTTCTAACCAATAAGTTATCTGTATCTTATATATAAATATACTCTTATATTTAAATTTAATATAACATGTAACATATGTAAACATTTGAGTATTATAAATTGTAAGAAAAAATGTTGCTCAAGTAAAATATTAATCTATAAAAAGTACTTTCAACTTACTCTAAATTAAGAGTATTGATTATTGTTATGTGCCAACTCTAATAAATTCCATAATTACTGCAAAGTAAAGAACATTTTTCAAGGAATATGCCCATCTTCTACTGGAGCTAATTTTTGAAAATTATACTTATTATACCAGTGCCCAGCAAGTAGGTACTAATTAATCAACAGTCATATTATTATGAATAATAAATCAAAATGACTATGAAACATTAAAATTGTTTTAATGTGAATCAGCCAATATATTTATAATATGACCTACGTATTTATATAATTTTAATCTAATTTAAACTATTTTATTCTATGTAATTTAAATTCATATTTTTAACTACAAAATAAGTACTAAATAGACAATTAATACTATTGTCTTTTAGTATACTATAATAAGTTGTATTATAATTATTCTCTTCTAAGGTGTTTGAGTTAACAAATATAATTTTAGTTAATATTATGCCCTGGAACCTAATGCATTTATAGAATTATAGCATAATATGCTATGATTATAATTATACTATACTACTTGTATATAACTACATGTAGGTAGTCATAATATACCTATTATGTAGAAACTATGAACCGAGTATAGACTATAGCTGATAAATTATAACAACTATAGATAAAAAAAAAAAAACAATAATAATATACGTAATGATATATGAGAATAATTAAGAAGGTAAGTTTCATGTAACACACCTTGCGCCTACATATTGATAAATTGATAAACTGCTAGATTTATCATGGAGCGCGTAAAATGTCCGAAAATATTTTTTCCGAACAGTTTTTTAACCGAAAAATAATTTGTTGAAATTTGGCCTTCAGTCTTTGACTACGTAATACCTATTGCTTTTTTCGTTTACTTATCGAGCGTTATTAGCACCCGAATCATTTACAGGGGTTTCTGGTTTTGTGTGCTGGATTCAAAAGCAAAGAGTGCCAACGACAAATTTGAAAATAACTCTGAAGAAACTCTCGGTGTCATCAGATGTTCCATAAAAGTGAACAAACTATATTAAATATAAAGTTAGGGCTTTAGAATGGGTATTGTTTTCTAAAAATTATTTAATTACCAGAAATAACCACACAAATAATTAAAGTGATTAATCTATAAAACTTTTAATAGATAAAATATTAAAACAAACCTGTACGTATTTAGCATTATTATTAAACTATATTATGTTATTTAATAAGTTTGTAACTATTAGTAAAAAATTAAACTTCACATCTTTGTTCATAAATATAATAATTATCATCTGAAAAATTGTATAAATTAATAAGCTAGTGTACCTGCCTATCTACCTATTACATTGTTTTTAAAAAATTATATATATTTATTTAAAAAAGTTATATAGCAGAAATTTAAAATAAAAAATAATAGACTAGGTAATAGGTATATATTTTTTCTATTATTGTATCATTAAAGAGAAGCAAAAAAAAAAAAAACATTCAAATATGTAACTACTTCTAGGAAAACTACTCACATAGAAAGTTCTAAATACTACTTCTGACGTAATTACCAAATGTGAACAAATGTAAATATGTAATAGTTTTTAAAGTTCAATAAATCATTTACCTATAAGTTAGATAATAAGTAGATGACGTTTACATAAGATAATATTGTACTTTTAACTTTTAAGTTACCAAACGTTTCGGTTTAGGCCCAGCCCTTCTAAAACGTACTTCTGGAGTCGGGGGGTCTTCGTACCCATGGTGTATTTCGGAAAAGGTTTGGTTTTTGCACGACGTTTCTGAAACTTAAGATATGTATAGTTTGGAGCTTGGTGATCAATTTCGGCTACTAGTGTCTAGACCGTAGAAGCCGTATTTCCCCGTCTGCAGAGTGCTTCAAAAGTTAAGAATTTGAGGTTTTTTTCGTTTTTCGGAAAGTACACTTAGGTTTTGGGGGCTGCGATCTGTTTTTAATATTAACCAGAAAATAGGTTTTTTGTAAATGCATTATATAACCAAAATTTTAATGTAGGTAATATAATGAGTAGATACATTATGTATGTTCTGGCGCAGTCGGTTTTTTTTTACAATCAAAAAATCAACTTAAAACTAGCTTATTTTAACATTTTTACAACAAATTTTGATTTTTTTACATCGAATTTTGAGTGCTTTTTTGTATACAATTTATATACAAATACAATGATATTTCACATATTTTATACAAAATTACATACATTTTAGAAAACATTAGAAAAATACAGAATTTAGAAATATTCCAAGAAAATTATTCAAACAATTTATATATATTTTAAACATTACAGCCAAGCAGCTTCCGCCATATATTTGCTTATCGTTATAGGAAATATAATATAATATATTAAAACCAAATTAAATAAGCAGAACAGCTGTGCAAACTGTGTAGTTGAGTGTGAATTCCAGGACGACACTTTGGGTGTGGTCACCGATTATCCTTCACATTCCTGGTTTTCAACGTTTTCATAGTAAATATGATGTCATTTATAATATTCTCAATCAAGAGTAATGAGCAGAATACAGCCAATGAGAGCCGATTGTATGAACACTACTAAAGATAATTTAGTTAATAAATACAGGCCACGCAGTGGAATTTTTGTCATTTGCAGTATGCCTATAAACGGCTAACACAGTTAACACCTGCAAATAAAATCTGTATTTCTCCCTGAAATTTGTCATACAATAGCGAATTGATGCTAAATCATGACAAACGTAGGGGAGTATTACACCGAACGACCAACTCCATCACAGAACTATAGTAAGTATGTAAATACATTTTTATCAAAATATTTTAATAAACCAAATAATTCTAATTCTAATAAAACAACTTTGTCGAAAACAGTTTGTAATCCGTGGATTACAAAAGGAATTATTGCTTTTATAAAAATACGTAATAAATTAATTAGAAAAAAACAATCTCTAGGAGTGTTTTACAAATCAAAAATTAGGCACTATATCAAAATTTTACGTGAAAATTACTTTATAAAACAAATTAATATTATTCACAAAAAAAATCCTAAAATACAATGGGAGTTGCTCTGCAATTATTTAAAAATTAATAAAAAAGAAAACTGTTATCGACATTGATTGTAATATATTAAATAATCATTATGTAAATATAGGTCCTAAACTTGCTTCTAAAATACCTTCTATGGAAGCCAAATTAAAAACTAAATGCAATTATTCTGTTAATTCTATTTTTTTCGAATCAATTACTCCAGATGAAATAATACTCAAAATTAATTCTCTCAAAAATAATATAGCTCCAGGCTCCGATAAAATTAGTGTAGAATTATTAAAATCCAAAAAAAATCTATATCTGTTCCTTTATCGTGTATGTTTAATTTATTTGTTGAAAATAATTATTTTCCGAGTGAATTTAAACACGCAGATATTGTTTCTATATATAAAAATGTTGGAAGTAAGTTAGATCCGAATAATTATCGACCAATATCCTTAATATCTAATATTGCAAAAATTTTTGAAAAATGCATCTATACTAGAATAACTAATTTCTTAAATAAAAATAATTTACTGTCTAGTTCTCAATTTGGTTTTCGGGAAAGAAGAAGCACTGAAGACGCAATAACTAAATTAATTTCACATATTAAAACAGATAAAAAATATAAGCTTGTTGTTTT